GAAGATTCATAAACTACCCGAAAATAAGCAACACTATAACAAAAATATGTTGCTTATTTTCGGAAGAATACGGTATTGAGCAAATCAGATGACGATCTTTATGTGGAAGGCTAGTATTTTTAGTTCATAAATGTGAAAGAAAAATATTATTTGTTTTGTATTCAAATCAAAAGAGAAGGAATTCCATTTGATGAAGTATGAAACGGTATACTGAGAACACAGTTTCTATCCCTTAAAGTCATGCCTATTTATTTGTTCAGGCTTTATTTTTTAACCATGTGCACATGATTCACGTGATTGAATAATAATATACAAAGTTTATGAGCTTTTCTTCATATAATTTATTTAACCAATTAAATATAAAATAATGACAAACCATACAAATATATTCTCGCTGGTGATTAATTGAAGAAATTCTTTCAATCTTCACAAAATTTGAAGAGAAGGTACCTAAACTATCTTCACCATTTAAGTGATGTTTTACTAAATCGACTTAGTTTTTTCGTCATAATTTCCGTTATCTCCAGAATGTTTACTGCGTCAATGCGTCCATGCGTCAATTTGTTTGCCCACACATCGGGCTTATACTTTTTAACCGGTGTATGACATATGCTGTGCGGTGTGTATGTATGTAAATATATTGATTATTTACTACCATGTCTTGGATAACTCATAAATGGACGATGAATCCATGGAATGACTTCACATTGGACTTTTTAAAAAATTCAATTCGTTTTTTTTTTTTTATTTTTCAGATCGCCTTGGCTTTCGATAAATTTTTTTCCCATACCATACAAACATTGAATTGTTTATCAGGATAATTGCATTTTACCATTTTTGACGAATAGAGTCGCAAAGGTAAATGAAGAAGTCGCGGATAAGGGTCCAGACTTATTCCTTCTTCACGGATACATCTAAAATTTTTACGTGACTTAATTTTGAGTTACTCTGGTATATAGATTACACGACCTAAATTTAAAGTTATGAGTCATAATCTGGTTTTTTGAACGAATCCATATTTACATTTTATTAAATTGTTGGTGAAACTTTGATAAGAATCGAAAGGGTTGCTTATCAAACGTTCAAAATTTTTTTTTTTCTTTTTTTTTTTTGGCGAATTATGATACGACGCCATTTGAGCAAAAAAATGTATACAAATCGTCATTTACCTAGAATCACTGACCGACCCCCTTTTTTTTTTAAGCCGCTATTTTTGAAACATTTTTTTGGAAGCATCGAATCATGTTAGATATCATTAAATTGAATAAATTCTTTTTTTTTTTTTAATGAGTTTAATAATGTATATAAAAAGGTACTTATTGGTCACCTTTTTTTTTGCATCTGTGTTCGAATTATAAGTGATTAACATTTGGTGTCAAAGAATTCCCCATTCAAGATTCCAATAAATTTGTATTGTGTAATGAAATGGATCAACTAAATAATAAGTAAATAAAGAAATTTATTTTAGGTTATGTTATTGTGAAAATACTAAAACTTTTATGGCTTTCCATATTCATGATAAAGATTTTGTATGGAAGTGTAACAAACATCGGGAAATCGATAATTATTATATATAAGAAAGGAAAATCATGTGATTTGTGCGGATTCGAACGTTTATTGCTCTTTTGCAAATTCTCCATTTATTCGTTTACTAATCGTGCAGTTAATTTCTTATTATAGTTAGTCCCTTATAAATCTACGAGATAATCTAAAAAAACCGTATCATTGAATCCGTTTCTAATGAATTGAAACGTAAGGTGATAAATTATTAAACTTTGGTTTAATGATAATGCAACGCGTTTTTTAATGTTTTTTTATTAGTCATGACATTTTTATATTTTAATATGTTTTTTATACACTACGTGAATGATAACCCAAAAATATTCTTACAACCCTAAACTATAATTTTAATCTACAAAAAAAAAATAAATGAAAAAGACAATATCTAATTACAACTTAATTAATATTAGGCAACGCATAATATCTTAGATAACCTTTTGTTCTTTTTTAAATTTCCAAAACTATTCCTTTTGGTATTTCTTTCACAATCAATCACACTATTAATACAACTAGAATTATTCTGTACAGCGGAAGAACTTTCGTCCATGCTATCATAATCATAATCAGCATCATTACAAACGATTTCGCTCCCATTTAAATCGCTATTGTTGATCGGACAGTCATCATACGGAATATGTGGTCTCAAACAAACATATTCTACCGACTATCATCAATAAAACGAGTTAACGTTAATAATTTTTTTTTTTTAAAAAAAAAAAAGGATGTGATGTTGTTGAGTGGACACTTACGAAAGGACCTTTAACGGAAGAATTTTTGGTAATATTTTCAGTGTAGCATTTGATTCCAGTGTGTACTTGATATCTTCTATCTTCAGAATTTTCAATTTTTGAAATTTCAATTGGATAGGGAAGACGATAAAGGAACCACCCTTTTTCAAATACTTTAACAAGTTCTTCCGGGTCCGGCGAATATTTATATTTAGCCTCACGTTCATATGAGTTTAGATAAATGTCATGCCTCAACCATATATCTGTGGAGAAATGCACAATTGGTCTCTCGATGGATTTATCAATCTTCATACGCCAAATAATGTCATAAATGCCAGGCGGTACATTACTTATCGTAATTTCAATCTAAAAAAGGCGGATGAAAAGGATCGAATCAATAATTTGTTGTAAACTAGAGAAATCATATTAAATCATTTTAAACTGTCTTACATTGAAGGAACGTTGTTTTTGTTTGATCCTATTGCTGTTGATTAAAAAAAAAAAAAAAAATTTTAAATAAATTACGACGCAACCCGATGAAAAAAACGTTCTAAATGCATTGGTACGTTACCTAGGCTCATTATCCTTATGATCAAAATATCTATAACGGTAGAAAGTCCCAGGTCTACCCCTTGAGAAGGCAGTTTTGGTTTTAACCTTGACAGTAGATAGACGCATGTAGACTTTCTTCCAATCTGGTACCGAAGGAATTTGCTTATTTTTTGTGCGCTTCCATTTTCCTTTCCGATGATTGTTTAATAACAACTTATCCTGATGATTTTGTATGGCAATTTCACCGTACTGGCTCAATAATATTTGACGCCATAGGTAATTGTCATGTGTGTGAGCTCGAAGTTTTCTGTTCACCATGGAAAGCGATAAAACGTCATTGACTTCCAGGTTATCCATGATATTCATCATTATTTCATGAGGGACTTTGGCGAAACCATCATTCCCCGGTATGATTGTTATGCTATCATTTTGTTGCTGTTCGACGTTTACTCTTCCCTCTTGTTGTTGTATCGGTGGTTGATTTGAACAACCACCTTCTATTATATTATCGATTTTATTTTTAATTAATGATCTATTGTGTTGTTTACAGTAATAACAGGTCGTCCACGTATGGAATTGAAGACGCTTTTTTGTGGACAAGGTAGAATAAAGTATTATTGATAATCCATTTTTTTGTTGCATAATGTCCAAATTTTTATCGTAATAATTTAAGTTAAAATGTTTTCTTTATAAAAAAAGAACGGTTAAAAAAAAACCGATGAGATAAAAAAAAAATAATAAATATTGCCTTGTTTTTATAGTTTTTATTTTTGAGGGGAGGGGGTAAGGAGAAAAGGAGGAAGTAATAAAAGAAAGAATGAAGTATTTGTATATCAATTTTGTTAATCTGGAACAATAAACAGCTTAAATTTAAAAAATTTTTTTTTTTTTTTTTTTCAATGCCAATTGCTTCAAAATTGTATGACAATTTAATAAAATATATATATATGTATATATATGTCTCCAACTTACTTAATTTGAACCAAGAAATTTTTTTTCAAAGTTGGATCCGTTGTGATTTTATAGACGGAAATGTTAGAGTTGCACAGCGAGTTTGATTGGGCGCATTTAATTAAAACGGGGTAAATCGAAATGTGCGAGATTTACAAATTTATATATATTATTATTATTTTTTTTTTTTAAAAAAAAAAAAAAAAAATTTTTTGATGACAAATTATTCGGAAAAAAAAAAAAAAAAAAAAGGGTTTTTTATTGTTTTTTCTTTTTAAAAAAAAAAAAAAGTAAAAATTAAATAAAGGAATCAATTACACAAAAATCCTTAATATTTTTCGATAAGCAGAAAATAACAATTCCATACATAAGCAAAATTAGTTTACATAAATTTTAAATTGAAGGTCTAGACTTTGATGATGAAATTTAGGGTAACCAAATAATAAACGAACATAAACTGATAAGAAAAAAGCACGCACCTTTTTTTTTTTCCTTTGTGATCTCTCACTTGAATTATAAAATTGCTCATTCAAAGATAATACCAATTTATCTCGCCAAATTATTATTGTTTAAAATTCTTTATTATTCAATTTTTTAATTTGTTTGTGAAACGTATATGCGATAAACAAATATACTCCAAATATATATCACTTTCCTAAAAAAATCTTTCGGATAAAAAATAAATAAAATACGTGAATATTATTGTTTATGAAGGTTCCGAGCAGGTTCCGAATGGTTACTTGTTAATCGGGATGTTTGGGATTGATGGATTTTTTCGGGTAAGTGTGGATTTTGGCCCTTATATCATCGATATTATCATAACCCATGCTCCGGACCCTTACTTAAGACCCTTAAAAAATTTTGTCATAATTACTTCACAAAACCCTTTTTCTTTCTATTTTGTAGCAAATCTTCTAAAGAATCTTTTTTACGTAATAATAAAAACATCCGACCTAAACCTTTTATTTTGGTAACATCTTCTAGAATAATAAAGCCAAATGTGTGCTAAATTAAATAGGACTCAAAATATCCGTACGTACCGAGAAGATCATAGGAATAACGGTCACTTTCCAAAAGCGTATAATGGTTGCTTGATTTGAACAAACCTTCAACAGTGCAGAATTCGTTGTTTGGCAATTCATGAAAGAGTTTGAATAACCTGCATCGCTTTATTAATCGTACAAGTCTTCAGTATTTTGTTTGCCAATGTAACATCAAACTTTAAAAATATGCAGTAATACATGCTGATGAATGAAATTGCAAAGTAAATCAAATATTTGGATTCCATTTCATAAAAAAAAACATGATAAAACAATGATTTCAATTATTTTTAGTAAATTCGAAGATTTCGGATTAATTTATACTCCATTACAACAAAAGTTCATATTCGAGTCATGAATTAGTTTGTTTTCATGATACAAAGTTCGTACAATTGACATTTGGTAACCTTGAAATATTTTGGTATGACTTGTGTTTTAAAAGAAATATTCCAAGATTCTAATCTTGGAATTCTCATTATTTGCTTTCTTAACAAAATTTCTCGTCTGTAAATTTCACAATTATTCTTTTTAACAAGATAATGACGGCAAGAAATTTATGAAATTTACAGCATGTATTATTTCAATAAATTCGCTTATTAGTTTTATTATGAATATAAAGAAAAAGAAATAATTATTATATAAAAAACTATATTATATTAAATCGTATTATAAAATGGTTGACTTTTGCTATCAAGGTATTACATTACATACATCTTTTTTCAACTTTTGGTTAGAAATATAATTACGCGGCAAAAAATCAAAAACTATTGATTCCTTTTGAAAGGGATTTATCTATTATCCCTACAAATGAAACAAAAAAAAAAACCCCCTTTAAATATTGGTTGCGCCATATTCGCCCGTCCCCCCCCCCCCGTTTTGTAATTACCTGGAAATCTTTCTAATGGCTTTCTTTACGCTGTTATTAACTTTCCTTTTCCACTTCTTTAAAATGCTCTTGTTATTTTTATTATCACCATCATCTTTGGCGACTACGATTTCACGTTCAGTACCTACAATTAAAAAGGAAATGAATCGTAAATCGTACGTTCAAGAATTAAAAACATTTTGTTTCGATAAAACCCAGGTAATACTTTGATTAGCCTTTCTGTTACCATCAGTAACATTATCCACAACGGTTGAACTACTGGTAGCCGTACTTTCCAAAACCTTGGCGTCAGGTATTTCAGTCGTTGGAAGAGAAGTTGAATTGCCTGGTAATGTCGATTCGTCAATTCCGTCTTGTTTTTTTCCTTTGTCAACATCATTGATGATATAAGGCTGTAAAGCACTTGTAGTAGGCTGTGATGATGAAATTCGGTTAATAGATGTTGTTGATGATTTTCGTGTTGGAGTATTTGGTGGCGTATCTTTAGCATGATAAATTTCAACAGATTTATTGTTTTCGATGATCCCATCATTGTTTAAAGGAGAAATTTGCTTGTTATTATTTGAACCTGCAATAACATTGCTTTCACTATCGGTACTATTAACAACAGTTTCATCAGGTCCAGCAGCAGTTTCGTTAGAATCTATGTAATTTACGTCGTCATTAAGTTTGGAAGAATCAACTGAAGAAGAAGTTTTATTAGAAGAATTGAATTTCTGTCTTGTAAGTAACAAACCAGGAGTCGCGCTAGGTCTATTGGGTGTAAAAGACGATGAATCGGTCGTTTTTAGCGTAGGATTTGATTTTAATTGTTTAAATTCCATTTTTTTTTTATTTTTTTTTAAAAAAAAAGTGAGATCAAGAAAAAGAACTAAATAATCTTTAACAAGATAAAAAAAAAAAAAAAAAAAAAAAAGAAAAAGAAAAAAAAAGAAAAAAAAAAATAATATATATATATATATTATAGTTTATTTGATCATAATGTAATAAACTTTTTGCGATGCTTTGACTCAATTAATCAATCAAAAAAAAAAAAATAATAATAATAATATATTATCATTAAGAGATGGGTTCCTGAAATATTTTTTTTTTAACGACCGTTGATAACATTTGTATTTTCTGAGAGTGAATTTTCGAAAAGCAAAAAACAAAAAGCGAAAGCGAAATATCATATGAAATAAATGATCGGCAAAACGGAAGTTCATTGAAGTACACGTGCGAGAAACTGCTGTGCTACTAGATGACAAAACCCAAAATCGGGAAATTAAAGTTACTTAAAAATCTTTTCTTTATAATAATAATAAAATGTCATATATGAGAAAAATACCTGTTCGAACAATAACTTTCTTAACAAGTACGATAGTAGGAATTTATTTGATCGATGATAAATATAATGCGCGAACCTTACAAAGAAATGGTTTGACGGTTTGGAATGGGTATTAATATTTATTAAATTTCGTTTTACCAAATTTTTTTTGATTAAATTTTTTTATTTTTTTTGATAGATTATGTATAGGACTAGATTACAAAATTAACTTTCGACCTGGTAAAGGAGATAAAATTGATGATTTGCATGAAAGAGTGGCTCAAAGGATATTAAGAGTTTGTAAGTCTAACGGGTAATGTATTGATTTTGAAAAATTTTGACGCTCCCAATTAATATTTGTGTATATTTATATTATTTTATTTTATTTAGAATAAATTAATTTATTTAATTCTCTGACATCAAATATTTTATTTTAAATAGTGGATTATATATTAAGTTAGGGCAAGCCATACAAGTACAATCTGCTATTTTACCACCAGGTAAAACCCTTTTTTTTTTTAAAAAAAAAAAAAAAAAACAAAAAAACAAAATTCATTAAAGTTTTTTTTTTTTTTATAATTAATTAAAAGCTTATCAAAGAACATTTAAAACGATGTATGATGATGCGTAAGTGTGAAGTTTTCTTCATTCTGATCTTTTAAAAGAAATCATTAAACATATTTATTTTCTTTATTTTGATGTTCAAAGACCAGCTGTTGATTTTGATCAGGTGATAAAGATATTTCATAATGATTTTAACTGTCATCCGGACGATATGTTTGATGATTTTGAACGTACCGCAATAGCTTCAGCTAGTGTTGCTCAAGTTCATCGTGCAAAACTTAAAGATGGAACCCCCGTTGCTGTTAAAGTTCAAAAACCAGATATTGGGAAACAGATGGTAAAAATTTACTTTTTGTAAAAGTACGTTTTTAACATATCGTGGAATTAATTAGATGTTACTCTTATTTAGAATTGGGATTTGATGGCTTATAAAATGCTAATGCATGTGTACGAATATGTTTTTGACCTTCCTCTTACCTGGACCGCCGAAACGCAAGACAAACATTTAAGGGCTGAAGGTACTTTTGAAAATCATTATTTAAGTTATGTCATCCTTTTTCTGATAAATACCTTTCTTCCCAAAAAAGTGGATTTTATAAACGAGGGTAAAAATTCCGAGAAGGCAAAGATGCATTTTGAGAGCATTAGATCTTTGAGGGATCAGGTTTACGTTCCTAATGTATTTTGGGATTTTACAAGCTCCCGAGTTTTAACCTGTGAATGGATTGATGGTGTTAAAGTCACCGATAAAGAAGGATTAGAAAGGCATGTATGAACTATGTATGAAAGATTGGCATGACTTATAATCTTAATTTTCTTTGAATTTATTATTAGATATGGTTTTAAATTAAACGATGTGATGAAAACTACAATTGATATCTTTGCGTCACAGATTTTCCTTACCGGTAAGTTAAATGCGTACCCGTTCGATTAAATAATTATGAATATTATTGTGATTGACATTGCTCGATCATTATTTAGGTTTTGTGCATGGTACGTTGTGTGTTCTTTTGTCGACTCTTGTAATAGATCGCGATCTGCGTTTGATTATCATTAACATGCAACTATGATTTATAGCTGATCCGCATCCAGGTAATGTATTTGTTAGACCTCATCCTAAAAGGCCAAAGAATTGTCAGATTGTTTTGATCGATCATGGATTATACGTGGAAGAATCTGTAGTCTTCCGTCACCAATATTGTTTATTCTGGAAATCCGTAAGTACCGTGAAAGACAAAAGAGTTATAATTACAGTTTTTATTTGTATCATTTACATTTCTCAAATTTATTTTTTTTTTAAAAAAAATGTAATTAGCTTTTTATGATGGATACTGATATGATCAACCAAATATGTCACGAATGGGGTATAAATGAACCAGAAATGTTTGCGAGTGCAACGCTGATGAAACCGTATAAGCAAAAGACAGCACTTCACATCGCTTCCAATCAACGCATGTCTATACAAGATGCATATAAGCTGCAAATGGTATTAAAGGAGAGAATAAAAAAATTTTTATCAAACACAGAATTAATTCCAAGAGAATTGATTTTCGTGGGGAGAAATATGAATATAGTCAGATCACTTAATAGAGAATTGGGCAGTCCAGTAAATCGTATAAATGTCATGGGAACCTGGGCGGTAAAAGGGTTAGGTTCGGATTGGTCAAATTGGGGGGGTAATGCAAAAACTTTTGATGAGAAACATCGGCAATTAATAGATAAGGGAAGTAATTTCTCTGGATTTTTCGGGCAACTTGCTTTTATATTACAAAGTAGGTATAATTATTGGTTATTTAGAGGTACTTTATTAATGATAAGTATAGGATTCTATTTAACTAAAATAAGAGAGTCTATTGGAAGTTGGATATATGGTAGGGGCGATTCAAGAGGGTTTGAAGAAATCTTGGATGATAGAATGAAACAAACTATTGAAGAAAATCTTGGTATTGTACTTGATCAAAATGTTTTTGAAGGTTAAGTTTACCTTTATATTTAATAGATTGTCATAGACAGTTTAAAATACATTATTATGAATTTGATTAAATAGTAAATGACACTTTTAAAATGTAATCTTGCAAACTACAAAATTATGTATTTTTGTAAATGTTATTATTAGAAAGAGTTTTTATTTTTAATTTAAATTAATTATCTTCAATTTATTCTAAATATTTTTAAACGTCCCATTAGAATTATTTCATTCATTTTAATATTTTTTTTTTTTTTCGTTTTAAAATTCATTGTAGTTAATATAATTCAGATTTAAAGCTTATTATCTTTAACTTGTGCACCAATTTTTCTAACTGTTGCATCCTCGGGATCATCAATCATAAATCCATCAATTCTTTTAGCAATTTCTATGCACAAGTCTTCTAATTTATCTTTGATATTTTCTCTAGCGAGGAGACTAACCACTACCCATCTTTTATCATCAGACCATTTAGGGTAACTACCAATTTTAATTCCCAAATCCTTAACTTTTTCGTGCGTTTCAGTTAATACGGGGGCGATAAAACTTTCAGGACGATAGGTTTTAATAAATTTTCTGTAAAATCTTTCACCATCTTTATCGGTTTGCCTCGCTTTTAAGTAATTACTAAACGCGAATAATAACCCATTGAATAGTTGAGGAATACCGGGTAATATATGAATATTGTCATTAACTATCACTATCGGGACCCAAAGTTTTTTGTTTGGGTATATAATGGCGGATGGATCAGGAAATAATGCCATTCGTTGACTTGCATTAGCCACCTCCTGACTTTGTTCCGACATCATGACCTTTATCGAAGGTGTGTTGTTTGTGAAGTCTTTCATACGATCGAGCGTTTGTTGATGAAGGGTTAAAGAAAGATTAAATGCTTTAGCGATCGAAGGGTACGTTATATCATCATGCGTTGGCCCTAAGAACGATGATTTAAAAGAAAAGATGTGATTATTATTATTATTATTATTTTGAGGAAATTTGATTCAAGTTACCTATTCCTCCACTAGTAACAACAAAATCAAAATCGTTACTAAGTCGTCTTACAGCTTCAATAATCGTCTTTTAAAAATAGTTATTAAAGGTTAGGAAACCGAACCCACGTTGAAAAAAAAAAAAAAAAAAAAAAGAGAAAATTTTATCATTTGTACATCTTCCTCATCCGGTATGACTTCAATTCTCTTTAAATCAATTCCATGTTCATAACAAAATTTCGCTATAAGAAAAAGATTATTAAATCTGCAAAAGTAAAAAAAAAAAAAAAATTTAAATCATATCTACCTACCAAAAGAAGCGGAATTTGTATCGACCGTTTTCCCGTTAAGAATTTCGTCACCAATAATAAGACAAGCGGAGGTTTTAGGAAAAGGTTTGAATCGTGTTTCCGTAACGGGTGTCGTAGGTAGGATGAAAGCGTTTTCTCTTTCTGATTTAATTTGCTTCAATCGTCGTTCTTCAGACATTATGCGAGATGAAACGTGAAATTTTCTATTAAAACGATTATTTCTGATTAACGAGTCAATCTCAATATTTCTTTTTATTATTTGATACTATTATAAGAAAATGATAATAAATAACATAAGCAGTAAAAAAACATTAAAAATTAAAAATAAAGTTTAAAAGCTTACGAAACCGAATCTTGTACAAGATCGAAAAAATAACATTTTTAAATAAAAAAAAAAAAAGGATCGACGTCGTTTTTTTTAAATGCTTGTTGCGAATTATGGATAAAATCAGATAAATCGGGATTCGCATCCATAACCAATCAGAAATTGATCAAGATTGGTCATTATCGTTATTTGTTTGTATGTTTGCATTAAATAGGATTAAATAATGTATAAACTTTTTTAGTAATAAAGTATTAAGATAATATAATATATTAAGATATATAAAATATAATATAAAATATAATATGGATATATTTAGTTATATTCAATACTGTACAACGTTTTTTTTTTCTTTTGTATCAATTCAAGAAAAGATTCTTTCTTCCATCCACAAAATCACTATAATCCGTTAAGATTCTTTTTCTCTCGTCTTGAATTAAGTTATGCCTTACCTCTTCCAAGATATCGATAAATGATTTTTTTAAGATCTCCTGATCGTCGTCGTCGTTCACGATACTTTTGGAGCTTGAATATTCATCGCCATTTAAATTGCAACGACATTTTTCTTGCGTAAAGTAAATAGGGGAGACTCGAGTTGAGAAAAGCAGATGTTTAAGTCGTATATGTTGTGAGAATTTGTTGCATAATACTTTGCGCAAGATACTTTCCGAGTTATCATGTTTCGTGATTGATTTCAAAACAATCTCATTATCAGGATTCAAATCACCTAATTCCATTTGACTTTTCGCAACCTTGTCTATAAAATTAAGGAATTTCTTTTAATAAATCTGTAAATAAAAAAAAAAAGAAGTCTTGAAATCAAATGTTCTTTTTTTCACTTACAGTACTGTTTTGCGTTAAGCCAAATTTTATCATCAATTTTCATTGCTGCTGAATAAGAAAGATTGAATTCATGGTAACATATGGGTGGCTTCTTATGAATCTCCCCGTTATCATTACTCTAATAGTAAAATTATTTCGTTCAATTGAACGTTATACTTTTTAATATCTATATAATCGGTAATAAATATGAATATTTTGTTCACCTTGTCAAAGTAGGACATAATTTGTGGGATGACGTCAGAAATTTCAACTCCTTGAATGCATGCCGTAGCCTTAGCAGCTTTACATTCATCATCGATCCGTGAACGTGACCTTTCATATACGTTAAGCCAAATGATAATGATATCCAAGGTTTTTTGATCAAAGAGTGTTCGAAGACGTTTTAACAAAGCCGTAACGATGCATATTGGAAAGATGGGCTTCGAAGCGAGAAACACGTTGACATTATAATCGTATGCCCAGCAATTGACGGCGACATCATTAACAAGCCTAACGATTGGTGTTATATTTATGTGATCTTGAAAGTCATGAAATAAAGCTTGAAACCCGTGCGCGTTACACTCCTCATTTGAAATATGATTGGTTAGGTTATAATTGAATGAAATGAACAAAGCAACGTTACGAATTGGTTTCGATTTCTTTATCGTGATAAATTTATCATTTGGCAAGTTCGAGAAATCAAGTTGAATGACCGGGTCATGTATGGTTTTCTGCGCATCATTGTTGCATTGTTCCCTTCCGCGGTTATGATGATCAAGATTGGTAGCAATGAAATGTTTCATTCCCAATGAGGCATTGTGTAGGTGGGGGTCATTATTTTCTTCAACATTCAAATTTGGCAAAACCTTTGATTCAGTCTCTTTACATGAATTGATTACAGTTTTTTGTTCGTTGCATTGTCCTAAAATACGAAGGAACAATAACTTTATTTTAGCAAAGAATAAAAACAATCACAAAGCATTAGAAATAAAACGATCACCATATTCATCATCGGTATGGTTGTCATTTTGAGGATGCAAGAGTAAACAAAAGTCGTACGAAAAAGAATCCATTGAGGATTAGGATAAACAAAGGAAGAAAGGTTTTTGAGGGTTGATCGACATAAACAGCTGCTTCAAATATACTTATTTGTTGTGACGTAATTTATTCTCACAGTAGACGAAAAAAGTAATTGGAAACAAGTATCTCATATAACTGCTAAAGCGGGAATGGTGATTTTATTTCTCCGATTTCATTCAACATTGTATATATATATATATATATATTTTTTCTTTCTTTTGCGATTTTATAAAATTTTCTTTATGAAATACTTTATTATAAATTTCGTTACGTTTATGTTTATCAATCTCTAATTCGAATTTATAGTAATCTTCTGAATGATTAGTAACTTGTTAACAAATTCTATTGTTTTCTCGTCAAAATCACGATCGATCTCAGAATAGGTCACAGTAAAATTTAATCTATTGTACCAAAGAAATATTTTTTTTTCTCGTCCTTTTTTTTTTAGCAGAGGAATGTTGCGATGCGACCGAATGGAAAGATAAAATATAATTCCTTTAATCAAAAGTTTTTATACTCATCAACCAGCCTCATTAACCCACAATTCATCTTCAATAGAATTTAGATTCGCGTAGGGTACCCGTATTTTCAAGTTTGGAAAAGGAGGTTCAAATAGACATTGATGATTCGAATTTTTTTTTTTTTATGTGCAAACCGACTCGCAAATTCTTTATTGAGCAAATGTAAAAGAGAACAAAAAATACAAAAATTTTCTATCTATTAGACTAAGCTAAATCGATAAGGCCACAACCAAAAAAAAAAGAAACATTGAAGATATGCAATGATAATGATCTAACTTTCTAACTTAGATCATCCAAAGCGACCAACATAAACAATTTGGTTATTGATGGTTAAATGCCTATGGTGTACGTGGTGTACGTGTGATGTAGGGCCAACTCCTAATTCTCATCTACATGGTGAATGCCAAAGTTGCACGTGACATATCATCAAGGACTTGATGAAAATATTGATATTATTCATCATTTAAAGAATCGTTTATGGATAAACATCGTTCGAATACTAAACTTTATACTCTCCTAATAAATGTGCTTTAACCGAAAATTATGCCATCGATCATAGTTCGTAAATAGGACGATAAATGTACTGCGCAACATTTCTTATTGTAATCGAACAAAATATTGTTTATCCTTTGAGCAAAGATCCCAATTTTTATGGAGATTCTATCGACAAACACGATGAAAGGTTATGTGATATTGTTCTTTTAAATTATTTGATTAACATCAAGAAAGCATATATTGGATTGATAGCAATTTTAAATTTAAACTATCTTCCATATTTCTCGATTATAAAATATAATTACTCTTGGTAAATAAGAATTGGTTGTATTGAACATGTTATTTTTTATTTTATTATACGGTATAGTTGTGTGTGTAAATAAGTTTGATAACATGTTAAAAATCACATTTAACAATGCCGTTTATTATATTTTAATTCTCACAAAATAAAATTTATTTGATTTATTACAAATACAGTAAATAAGTTATATACATTCTAATTTAATTCCAGAAAAAATTTTTTTTGAATCTATTGCTAACATGAATCGGTAATCTTATCGTTTTATTCATAAATTCAACACATCTTCAATACATTGTCATCTTATTAAAGTTGAGAGGATTAGATTCTTCAATATTCGCTTTAACGATCTTTTTTTGAATGTATGATCTATTAAATGGTAATTTCCATAGTCTCTGATCGCCTAAAATTTTGTCTCTGAAAAAGAAATATACCGTGGGACCTGACCTATATAATCAACAAACAATAAGTAAGAATTGTATGTATGAGATCAGTGATAGGCCATTAACCTCCTCTATCCATGCACAGAGGTACAAATTCGCAGTGAACTGTTAACATAAACCACGGAATTTTTGAAAAGGAAAACGCACCTGAACTTTGGTTAAGGAATTTCATTTCCGGGATGCATTGACTCACACTGCCTAAAGTTCGTCTCTGAAAAAGAAATATGATGTGGGACACCTATATAATCAACAAACAATAAGTAAAAATTGTATGTATGAGATCAGTGATAGGCCGTTAACCTCCTCTATCCATGCACAGAGGTACAAATTCGCAGTGAACTGTTAACATAAACCACGGAATCTTTGCGTACCTAATTTCCAGGTAAATTAAGGTCTATCTGCTCTGATCACTTGAGAAAACGATATAGACGATTAAATAAAGGAGGGAGAAGGTGAAACAGAAGAGAAAATAAAAAGTGAGGGTGACAAAAAAAAAAGTAAAGGATATTGAAGAAGAAAGGGAAGGTAAAAGTAATTCTTCGAACGTGAGTTTGTTATCATTTGTTAACAACAAATCGGGCCAATTAAATATCAATGACGAAACGCGATCATCTTGCAAATTACGTCATAACTTGTCATCAACACTTTTTTCACACTCACGTGATCATATATATGTGACTGAACAATAATTTTATTAATTATAATTATTATAATACTATATAAATTATATATTAATCAACCATTAAAAAAATTAATTAAATTTGTTTTCAAAATTATAGTTCAAGTTATTTGATTATTTTAAAATTTTTATTAAAAATTTATGTAAAATTCTTTATTTGCTATACTTAAAAATGTAATTTATATTTATAGAAATTTGAAAATATTACTTAAAGATACTTGTATTTTTTTTAAAAAATCTTAATTTGCATTAGTTTATTATGCATTTTCTCTTTAATAAATTTTATTATACTATTTTCATTTAAAATTTTTTTAATTAGAATTATCTCTAAGCTATTAAAAAAATTATTTAATATATCTGCTAATAAAATTACATAAGAATCATTTATATTAAGTTTAATCATATAATTAATATTTATTTTTTCATCAGTTTTTTCTTGTTAGATTTATATTATATTATTTATATTTTTAGAAAAAAAAAAAAATCCAGTTTTTTAACTTTATTTTTAATACTAAATTTTCTTTATTAATATTTTTTTCATCTTTAAAAGTTTTAACTTATTATAATAATATTTTTTTAAAATAACTTTTAAAATTTGTAATAATATTAACATCAAGTAATTAAAAATAAATTGTAATATTTATACTACTTTAATATAAATTAATTATTAAAAAATATTAGGTTAATATTCATTATGAATATTGTAATAATTATAATTTTTAAATCACTATTATAACTATAATAATCTTTTAATTTACTATTATTACTTAATAATAAAATTAAATATTATTCAATTTTTTATAATAAATTATTGAATTTTAAACCTAATAAAGATGTCCTATCTAATTTAATTCAAATAGATTATAATTATATAATTTTAGCTAAATTATAATTTTATATATTATAATTCTAATCAAATTTGTAATATTAGTATATCTTAAAAATTTAAAGATAATAAATTGTTTAACAAGAATAATACTATTATTTTAACCTAGATTTTTTAGATAATAAAAAGCTTGAAATTAATATTATAAACCTTTCAAATTTATCTCATTTTACTAAGATAATAAAAAGTAGAAAATTAAAATAAATATTAAATTGAGTAATCTTAAACTTTATTTAATCTATAAAATTAGAATTATTATTAGTATTTAAAAGATTAGTAGAATTTTATAAATCTTTTGTATTCTTAAAATTTACAAAATTTGTAGTATTTTCAGAATTTTATATTAATAAATTATTATATTATATTATTTATGTGACTTCATTGTTATTGGTTAATTATTTTACTAATAGAGTATTAACTTATATAATTTTAGTAATACATTTATAATTGTAATAATTATAAAATTTATATTATATAAATCATTTTTATTATTTGTTAAAATCTTTTATAAAATTTACTAATTATTATTTAACATAAAATTCAATAAATAATTTAGTTTACTGAAAATTTTTATTTAGAATTTTGATTTTTTCTTATTTTATTATGTATTTTTATTATTTTTAGTTTACTTATATTTTATTTATTAAATTAATTAATTTGTAATATAATAATTAGTTGGTCATAATAAAAAGATTTGTATAAATAGATAGATTTTTTTACTTATATTATAAATTAATTCTTTTGCAACTATAAGTTTTAATATTATAATAAAGGAATTAATTAAAATTTATATTTTTCTGCCTTTTTATGTTTTCATATAATCTAACATATTTTTATATAAAATTTTTAATTGAGTTTATCATCTAAATTTTTTAATTAAACTTGTTTGTAATCTCATTTTTCAAGTTTTCATATTTTAACAGATTTGTTAAATTTAATATATAAATTTAATAAAATTAAAGTTAGATGAATCTTAACATCTTAACTGCAGTTAGCAATTATAAATTAAGAATATAATTAACCTAAATTAAAAAATTTTATGATAATAATATATAAAAATCATGTTACAAAATTTTTTATGAAATTTTAGATTTTTATTTATGTAAATCATTATTATTTTATCTATTTATATTATAATTTTATAACTCATTAACTTAATAAAATAATGTAAAATAATGTTAAATGTAAAAATCTCTTAAAATCTAAATTTAGATTTTGGTAATGAATAATGATATCTATAAATTATTAATTTAATTTTTATTTACAAATAGTTTATTTTATAACTTTAAATTTTTTTTAAAATTTTTTCAGTAATTTTATTTAAATTTTTAATAATTTGTAACTATAATCATAAAGAGTAGATAATATTAATAATAAAAAAAAATATTTTTAAATAAAATAAATTAATCAAATTATTTAAATACTTACTTTTTTCTTTTTTATAGAATTAAAAATAAGTCTTATAAGAGGAGATAAAGTTTATTTAGTTAATTAAAATTAAAAAATTAATAATTATTTATTTAATTTCTTTTTGCAAGTACTAAAATTTCAGATTAGTCAAATCAGAAATGAGTTTTATAAAGGAAAAAGATAAATATAATAAATTAATAAATTATTTAAATTAATAAATTAATAATTTATTTATCTCTTTTTATTTTGTAAGTGTCAAAA